AGAGGTCAAAGGTTTATAATAACATATGGATCGAGGCTTGTCAGAAAGTCTTGTGTGCAGATTGGCCGCACATGCATGAGTGAACACAACACCATTGTGTTCTCGTTCCAGCGCAGGATGTGTCTAATTTGGACCTCGGGGCTGAACGTGTGGCAGCTTATAGGCTCTTATAGTCATGTACCATAAGTCCATATGTTTTATAAACCCGGGAAACACAGGAGGTCAGGAATCGATTGGATTTGAATGTTTTATCATCCACAAAGAGATACGGACGCACTGAGCCATGCTTCAGAGATGTTTGTTCGTCATCCTGCAGCACTCGCATGTTTTTCAGACTAAATTTAGTTTTCAGGAATTTGTGCTACGTGTGGGGAAACAGCCGTGTAGAAAGTCATCCAGCTGTCAGAATGTTACAGTGACAAACCGACACTGTAACTGCAGAGAGAGCTGACTGGACACATCTACACCAGAGTCTCAAATACAAAGATCACAAACCACCACAGAGACCCACTGCTTCACTTTACTCGTTTGACCACCAAACACACGTCTGAAGTCGAGATATTTGCCCCCGTGTATGTTGGTTAAAACTCAGTTTTAGACATATTTGGACAAATCCCAAAGAGTTCAATCTGCACTGCAAAACTTTCAAAAGATACAAACACATAATAAAAATCAGAATCATAATCTGGGTTTATTGCCAAGTACATTTACACATACAAGGAATTTGACTTGGTGTATTGGTGCTAAACAATTAACAAGGAAATAAAGCAGAACTAACAACAACTTAAATAATACAGAATAAGAAGATATTACAATATATAAAATAGAATTTAAAAATGAAAAATAAGAATAAAAATGAAATAAAATAAAAATGATGTTGCTGCTAACACAGGCGGCTTTTCTGCTGCGCTAACAGGAATGAGCTTCTTTAGGTTTCCCCCTCAGGGTACGTTTGTGTAGAGCTAAAAATAACTTCTGAATCCTGTTTAATCTACACTCTGATTTAATACTTTATGGAACTATTAAACACAAAACAGTTAAAGGACAAGATGTCATTTAAACCACTCATTGTTTCAAACCTTATCAGCTTTAACCTTGAAACAACTTTCTGATTTAAAGAAACTAGTTTCATTATTTTTAAAGGAAGTCATTAACGTGCCAGGTCACACATAATCATCCCAACCTTCGATTCTCTAATGGAGTTACTTTATAGTCTGTTTTTCTTAATGCAGTTAATGACTAAGTGATTACAGGCCTCTCTCTGCACCGGATGCTTCTGTGTTCAGTGGTAACTGGGACTGTTTCCAGTGGGACTGGTTCCAGCTCTGCAGCCAGCTGATCTTCAGCCTTCCTGCCCGCTGCTGCTGCGTCCGTCTGCTGCCTCCTACATGCTCTGCTACAATCTGCTGAACGTATACATGAAGACCTTATAGCTTTGTGTTCAAATGGTGAAACAGAGGAATACACTGATTCTCAAATTTAAGGAATTTCAGGGCTGAAGGAGTGGAGCTGTCCATGGTGCTGAATTCCAGACGTCTTTTAGGCTTTTTCAAACAGAAATTATTTCACTTATTTTTCGCTGTTGGTTAGATGGAGAAAAAAAGCAGAGATTGTGCAAGAACTAATCAAGCTAAAAATGTTCCAATCTATTTAGTCAAGACAAAAGGTCTGGAAGGAGTCCTACAGTCTCGCCCACCGTCCACATCATCCGATGTTTTGTCACTTCTACATTTGTCTCTCCCTCCCTTTGTCCTCGGTTAAAGTGTTCTGCTTTTGTAATTTGGTTTTTATAAAACATGTTTTCCAAAATGTAGATTTATCGGTCGGCAGTCAAAGACCTCTCCGGCGCCACTGAAAAGAGGAGTCAGTGGTTCTGGCTGAAGAGAAAGGACTCCACCTGGATGCTCAGGTGAGCAGATGGCATCAAGGGAGTGAGTGCGGGATTCAATGCTCAGCCAAACACTGAAGAAGGAGGGCGTCCACTTGACAACCCACAGGATGCCATCTCTCACTCAAGTTTCCTACAGAGATAATTTGGTTTGCACTTCCCAGCCACCGTAGATTTATAGTTCTTAGAATTAGATAAAGCAAGCTTTCTCTTCTGGATGACATAAAGGCTGAAGTGGAGGTGCATTTTAAAATAAATTCCAGTTTCCTCTCGCAGATTTCCGACTCCATAATTCCAAGAAATATCTGTTGGTCCATTTAAAGCCCATTAGTCACTTTCATATTTCAGCTTTGACTTGACTGTTGAGAAATCCAGCACACTTAAAAGCAAGAATTCTTTGTATGAGGTGCCACTTTTATCATTTCCAGACTCTATATTTAAAGTCGTATATCCACCGGCTTATTCTCAAGCTTCGTCTCAATAGAGGTGCGATAACTTCTTCGGGCTCCGGAGGATTCAAGCCGAGCCTCTAAAGCTCAGATAATGTCAAATTAAGCCTCCAAGCAATTCCAGGTTTTTTAGTTTTTATAATGTATGCCAAAAAAGCCCTCAGTGGATATCTCAGCTATCAGCGTGTGCAGTTTAATGCTTAATGAAGGTCGACTGTGGAGGTGACGGCTTTTAAAAATACACTCAAAGAATTCTTTAAGCACAAAGATCACAATTATGTTCTTTTTTTTAGCACACAAACACGTTACTTTAAAAAATAAGTATTTTACGTATTTACCAGAAACAACAAACTGTGAGAATCAAGCGTTCTCACAGTTTCTTCACAGTTCTAAATCCACTCTGATCCTGTATTTGATCATGTCTATAAACCCCTCTATTTCAGCCCTGCTCACAACAGGCTGTTTCTGTGTCTGTACCTTTAAATATGTAAATGAGCTGTGTCTGACCACGCCCCCTCTCTGGAAGGGCTTGGGTGTACTTGGTCTTTCTCGCTCCATGTCCTATTGTTTACGGTGAGAAGGCAGACTCAGAGGGCAGAACAAACACCTAGCTGTGGGAGTGTCACCCACCTGGGGAGGGGCTACTGCCCTTTGTGATGTCATGAAGGGAAAATCTCCAAACGGCCTGTTTGAGCACACATTTTCTGAAAAGTGGAGCAGGCAGAAGACGGAGAGGATGGACTTTTCTCATCATTGGAGGGTTTGTAGACGGACTAGAGACACATGTTAGAGTTAGAGGAACATGGTGAAGTGGATATTTTTTGATTCATCACGGGAACACAGAGTGAAATTAAATGTAATGCATGTCCTCTTAGGGCTTCCGTAGTATTATGTTATTGAAACAATAAGTTAAGTTTATGTTGAAATAGGATCTTCTTTTTTTGGTAAATTTTGAGTATTTTAAATATCCACTAGAAAAAATGTGATCGTTCTACCACTTTTAATTGTTCACTCACAGCCCTTCCTTGTTTTCCTCACACTAAAGTCTTTATTTTTGTATCTGCAGTATTTGGCTTCTATATAAGATCGATCCGTAATGTGCTGCCTGATACTACATTGATTCATTTCTAGGCTTCTGCCTGTCATGTAGTTGCATACAGCACAATAAATAATTAAATAAATATGAAACCACTCTGCTGGTTTCTCCCTGTTACCATAGCAACACCGGCGTATTTACACCAACATGCAGGCCTGACTGTCGCAAACGGGGCTCAGTGGACGATCCTGTGTGACCGTTTGAGCCGCCTCCTCCTCCTGCTGCAGATTCCTCCAGTCACACCTCAGAATGGAAACCAGAGGAACCAGTTCAGCACCAGTCTGTGTGTGTGTGTGTGTGTGTGTGTGTGTGTGACACCAGCAGAATAAACGCCGAACACACCGGTTACATAACTCCCAATATTTTATTTATCAAACCAACTGGGAGCATGCAGAATTCTTTAAAGACATCTCCTACTATAAATCTTTTCTGATAATCGATCTTTTATCAGCTCGTGCAGCTCAGTCCGGACCTGATCCTGGGGTTGGTCGGTACCGGATCTGGTTCTGCAGAGATCCACGTCCTGTTTCGTTAACTGTGTTTTACAGCCTGTCTGCATTGCGTCGAACCCCCCCTCCTCCCCTCTCTCTCACTCCCCTCACTCTCTCTCTCTCTCTCTCCAAACCCCTCCCTCCCTCTCTCCCTCCTTCCCTCACTTCTTCTTCTTCTTTTCCCTCTACGTGAAATCCTGCAATATGCTTCCAATTTACCGGACACTGATCCCCAGTCTCGTCCGTCTATAAAGCGTGATCCTTCACCGGTTTCTCCCTCCGCGTTTCTCTCTGTCTTTTTGTTTTTTTATTTTTACTGCAGCAAAAAAAAAAACAGGTGAGCGCTGCTTTCTGCTGATGCTGCAGTGTCCAGTCCTCCCAGTTCCTCCTCCCCGTCACACCGGCAGCTTGATGCGCCTTCATTTCTCGATATTTCTCCTTCGCCGTCCTCCAGCATGATTTTGACAAATTGTCAGTCAGGATTTCTGCAGCCGAGCCGCGGTTCAAAGCCGTCTGAAGCCTCCTCCTCCTCCTCCTCCTCCTCCTCCTCTTCCTCCCGCTGCTGCTGCTGCTGCGGGCTGCTCCGATCGACGCTGAAAACCTACACCAAGAGGATACGGATGTTAACCAAGACAACATAGTCTATTAATTTTTCAGACGCACTGTGAAACGATATCAGTATTAAACCTAAGTTGGGGAAAAGGTGCGCAGGGTGAGGACACTCCTTCCATCTGCAGCTCCACAACTCAGCACAGGTACGTTTTTTTAATCTGATTTTAAAATGAGCTTCAGGTGACCTTATTGTCTTTCTGTTAATGTGTCACATCTGATCTGCGGTTGTTGAATAGTTCATGTGTGAGAGGAAACTGTTTGTCCTGATGTGCGCAGAGAGGAAGCGCAGCAGGACTGCAAACTTGAATACTGATGTATGCGGTAAAACAGAGCAGATGCAGCACAGGCTGGTGTACAGTACTGCATGATGTTTTCCTGTCGTGCTCTGGCAGATATCTCTGGTGAGTGTGAGGAGGGTATCTACAGTGTCCGACCCCTCTGTTTGTGTGTGTTGCAGGTGAAGGACGAAGCTTCACTGTGAGAGAAATGTTCAGCTCCGATGTGATGGTGATGGAGAGGGAGGCTCTGCGCAGCTCCCGGCCTCACTAGAGGCGTCCCCCGCTCCGTCCTGCGTCTCCTCACCTTCACGCCGCCGCCTCCTCTTCCTGCCCTCCAACAGCCGGGAAGGATGACTGTGGTGTCCACCGAGAACATGGACGAGACCTCCACCCTGCCAGGGCACCCGCAGGACCCCTACCCGCCTGACGACGACCACGACGACCACGACTGCTGCGAGCGGGTGGTCATCAACATCTCGGGGCTGCGCTTCGAGACGCAGCTGAAGACCCTCGCTCAGTTCCCGGAGACCCTCCTTGGGAACCCCAAAAAGAGGATGCGCTACTTCGACCCCCTGAGAAACGAGTACTTCTTCGACCGGAATCGTCCGAGTTTCGACGCCATCTTGTATTACTACCAATCGGGAGGGAGGCTAAGACGGCCGGTGAACGTGCCGCTGGATATGTTCTCGGAGGAGATTAAGTTTTATGAACTCGGCGTGGAGGCCATGGAGAAGTTTCGGGAGGACGAGGGGTTCATCCGGGAGGAGGAGCGGCCCCTCCCGGAGAAGGAGTTCCAGAGGCAGATCTGGCTCCTCTTCGAGCACCCGGAGAGCTCGGGGCCCGCGCGGGGGATCGCCATCGTCTCGGTGATGGTTATTCTTATTTCAATAGTCATATTTTGTTTGGAGACTTTACCCGAGCTGAAGGAGGACCCGAGCCAGCGGTACCAGATCGTGGGGAACACGACCGTGTACTACAAACCGAACTTCCTCACGGACCCGTTCTTCGTGGTGGAGACGCTCTGCATCATCTGGTTTTCCTTTGAGTTGATCGTGCGGTTTTTCGCCTGTCCCAGCAAGGCGGCATTCTTTAAAAACATGATGAACTCCATCGACATCGTGGCCATAATCCCGTACTTCATTACGCTCGGGACGGAGCTGGCCGACGACCAGGACAACAAGGAGGGGAAGGGCGGCGGCGAGCAGGCCACGTCTCTGGCGATTCTCAGGGTGATCCGCTTGGTGAGGGTGTTCAGGATTTTTAAACTCTCCCGACATTCAAAGGGCCTCCAGATTCTGGGACAGACTTTAAAGGCGAGCATGCGGGAGCTCGGCTTGCTCATCTTCTTCCTCTTCATCGGAGTGATTCTGTTCTCCAGCGCCGTCTACTTCGCCGAGGCCGAGGAGAAGGAATCGTTCTTCACCAGCATCCCCGATGCTTTTTGGTGGGCCGTGGTTTCCATGACCACCGTCGGGTACGGGGACATGTACCCGTGACCATCGGAGGGAAGATCGTCGGCTCGCTGTGTGCCATCGCCGGAGTGCTGACCATCGCGCTTCCCGTTCCCGTCATCGTGTCCAACTTCAACTACTTCTACCACCGGGAGACGGAGGGCGAGGAGCAGGCGCAGCTGCTCAACGTCAGCAACCAGAACTTGGCGTCGGAGACCAACTCGAGCCGCCGCAGCTCCTCGGTGGTGAGCAAGTCGGAGTACATGGAGATAGACGAGGACATGAACAACAGCATCGACAACTTTAGGGAAGCGAACCTTAGGACTGCCAACTGCACGGCGCCCAGCCAGAACTGTGTGAACAAGGGGAAGCTGCTCACCGATGTGTGAGGCGGCAGCATCCGGGTGCCACGGTGTAAATATTGTAAATTCAATCTGGATGCTTTATCTCCATTGGTGCATTTTATTCTTCTTTTGCATTCATTCAAACGCGTTGACACTACGAGCGTTCACGGCACACACATGGTTAATTTGTTTAAAGGTAGAGGCTCAGTTATTTCATGAAAACACAACGACGGCAGCATTTGGCAATAGTTCAACAATCATCAGGTGTCGGGGGAACTTTTTGATATATTCACTTAGAAAAACAAAGAAATCAAAAGTCTTTAACTTATTTTTTACTACATGTTAGAGAGGTACTCTACCAATCGTGCACGAGAAGATGAAAGATGTTTCCCATGCAGGAAGAGGATTCTGAAAGTTGCATCTTTTCCCAAACTAGAGGCTATCTGTCTGTTTTTTTCTGACCTCTGTTGCCATGGTTACTCGACAGGTTAAAATGTTGGAACCAGGGTTTTGGATTAGAAACCAAAGTCTGGATATTTTGGTCTCTGATTGTCCATCTTGGGTTGTGATGTTTGACCCCTTATTGGCTTTAACCAAACAGGGTCTCACAAAAGCAAGAAAAAAAGGTGTTATCAACACGTTGCTCGCGTTTTCTTGAATTTCCTCCCATAATCGAGACTCAAGTCGACATTGTTTGGTTTTTAACGCCCCAATTTTTATTGTTCCTTTTAAAGTATGGCTTGGTCAAGTTCGCAAACTTCCTCTTTGACAGTGTCACCACTTACCGTCTTAGATATTAATATTTACGTCTAAATATCCTGGCTTTTAACAAAGACATTTACAGGAAACGTAGTAAACAATGTTTAGCAACAACACTGGAGACCATAGTCCGGATCCACCATCTTGGAAAGGGATATTTGGGATACTTGGGTAATTTAAGGCTACTTCCTTATTGACCCCTTGAAATTGATTGGTTTTAATTGGGCAGGGTCTAACAAAAGCACACAAAAAGGTGGTGTGCAAAGGGGTGTTGTTACCAAGTTGCCCCAGTTTTTGAATTTTAATCCCAAGATGGAGACCAAAGTTGACTTTTTTGGGGTTTTCATTGTCCCGGTTCTTTGGTTTTAACTTCAGGCCCTGGGCAAGTTCTCAAACTTCAACCCTAAGTTGATCAACTTTCGCCATCTTCCATGTTGGGTGTTGAAGTTTCACTAATCTAAACTTCAAGTTTGTGTCTTGGCTCCTACCAGGCACTGTCTAAGAAAGCAACTTTTGTAGTTTTTACCATAATGGGAAATGTAGTCACCATTGTTTTTGAAGATTGCTCCCCATTGGAGACCAAAGTCTGGATATTTTGGACTCTGTTGCAACATATTGGTATTGAAATATATCTTACACATTGAAGAATTTGTGCAAAACAGAATTGATGGAGTGCCCCTTTAACAGTTTCATCATCTTTACTTTGCTTGAATATGGATGTTAGGCTGAGATACTTCAGGTTTAGGCTGTAGGGATCAACTCTCTGCGATCTTTGTTGTCTTTAAAGTGTTATTTATAGAGTTACAGCTTGTCTTATGAACTTAGATAATCAATTTAATGAAGGAAATCTTGTTCCGGAGTTATTTGAAGATACAGCAACTTAATGAAGAAAACTAATCCACTAGAAGGAGGGGCTTTAGTTTACCCGTGTGCACCTTTAAACACAAGGTTTTAGAGTTAAATACACACATGTAAAAGATTCAACGACTGCATTTTAAGAAATAATACTTCATCTTTCAACAGCATCAGGTTTTTAATTTGCAAATTTTTAAATGTAACGCAAGAATTTATCAAAAAAATCTCCCTGACACTGACCAGGACCTTCGTGCAAAAAGACTACAAATAAAGAAAAATCAATCAAAAAGCCCGACTAAGATTTGACAAGCACGCTGGAGGACGACGTTCTCGCCAGAGGAAACACATCGAGTGGATTACAAGTGGAGCTTTTCTTGTGACACAACCAGGGACTCTTTTTGGGAAAAACTAAAACGTGAGATGTTGATCGGTTTTGTTAAAGGCACCTTATCAGAAACAAAGTGGAAGCGTGCCGAGCCTTGTGGAGGATTATCTGCTGCTGCTGCTGCTACAGGTCGGCCGGAGGTTCCCTGTACGATGCCATGCAACACTCCTTTATATAAAAAAAAGCATGTGGAGACTGTCTTCTCTCTTATATCGGCATGCACAAGACGTTACCTCATTTTTATTTTTTACATATTTGCTCTTCTTTGGCCCTCATCGCCCCCTGCTGGGATTCTGTCCCTCCTTTGTTTTCACCAAAAGTGCACTGGCTATTTATTATTGTTTCACTTATTTTCAAGCATTTTTAATGTGTTGAATGTTAAAGCATTAAGGAAACGGGAACACTTCTTTTTCGAAGACCATGGCATGTCAAAAATACTAAAAAGCATTATTGCCTAATTAGCTATGGTATAGCTATGTATACTCAATGCATGACTACAGTATTAAATTGCTTGCAGCTGTGGAGGGACCGCGGGAGCCGGGGGGATAAAGACGATGATGATTCTGCTCATTATCGTCCAAGCTAACGACAGGATACGTTGCATGACGGAGAGCTAACTGCCGGAGGGGACAAATCTGCTGAAAAAAAAAAAAAAACACACAAAAACAACGGGGAAAAAAAAGTCAGAAGAGACACATCTGATGATCTCTGAAAAAATGACATTTCAGAAAATAACATCGTCCTTTTTTATTTCTGTGAGGCTTCGATCTGTGACGATGGAGTGCATGGGATCATTTTTATGTGATATGTGACCACGTTTTATTTCTTGCATTTGTCTTTTTAAAACGGTTTCAAATGAAGGAAAGCAGTAATATTTAACAAATGACAAAGATATATCTTAAAATTAGTTTATAGTGCCTTGAACCCCGTCTCATTAGAATTGACTAAAGTGCCTCCCGTTACCATAGACGTGCAGCTTATCTTCTCCTGCCATAAAGATGATGCACTACTCCCTGCACAACCGGAAAAGAAGAGGTTACAGTCCAATAAGATACCAATATATTCCTTATTCTGGGGCTGGATCGTTGGGCCGACATAAACTATCATCGCTACTGGTTGATGACACACGACTGCAGCGCACATTCATCGAGATAAACGAGTTGAAATATGGACTGTCTTTGTATAAACTTATCTTTTGGTCACTCTGATCCATTTAACATCCATAAAAAAGAGAGTTGCTGTTCCTTCGCTAACACAGCAACACGTGTGGAAAGCTACAAACTGTTAGCTTTAAAACCAAACAGACGTGGATGTTTGTTCAGGGATGGTTAACCACTAACCTGCTCTGTCAGCAGACTCGTTAGCTGAAGAGTCTAAAACTTTTTATTGGGTGGAAATGGAATTTACCACTAATGACTACCCCTGGATTAGCTTGCATCGCTAAGTGGCTGTACTGGGATCTATTTGTGGTTGAAATCATTGGCAATATTTCACAAACTATCGACTGAACTATTCCCACTGTTGTCACTTATTTTAAACTAAAGTAAACACAGAACCTGGGGTTAGCCGTTGTGGCTAATTGCTAAAAATTGTGCTAATTGGAAGATCAGAAATCTAGCTGTTAGCTTAACCAACTACCAGACTAGATATTCAAACTTTATTTGTGACCAAGTTCAACTGAAAGAAAAAACATACATCAAATTGGCTATAGTCAGAGACATGTCCAGAAGGGTTGCACTGGCCCCCCCTTGAAATCTGATTGGCCACCCCAAAAAATCCTAAACTATGATGATTGGCTATCTGCTTTGTCAGAGGCGGGACGTTTGTTGTTAACACAACGGTTCTGGTTTCTTTAAGGCCTCTTTAATGCTAACATCTTTGTTTAAAGCAAATTTTAACATGAATACAAAAATACAAATATGTCTGCTAGTAGCTGATCACAAAGACCATTTCAACTTACTATAAGGCTCATTGTTTCCTCTCTTTTATAAAAGTACAGATGAATAAAGGCACTTAAAAATACTTTAGAAGACGGGGCCGCAGCTGGAGTGAAAAACAACGACTGCTCTACTTCCTTTACTTCTAGGACAGACTTTAGTAAAGTGGACTTCTTTGTGTTTAGATCGGTCGTGATCTACATTTTGTTTCTCGTCATCCAATCCCCACATGCAAATCCAAAACAATTTGTGGCTAATTTACGAGTTAATAAGTGATGTATTTATTTAATTTAATCATTTTTGCCAGTTTGTCCCTTTCGGCGCACCGTACTTAACCCAGCGTAGCGTCATCTTAAACAGCCAGAGTGACGAAAAACGAAGGACACCGTGGCGCCTTTGAATGTCTCACTTCACTTCCATACGACGAGTCAGAGGTCATATCCACGTTATGACATCACACACTTTTTTTAATGTTCCCCTCTGCAGCGAGTTCCTTTTGCCGTGGTTAAGTAACTTTCTATCAACTGGAAGTTCCTTATTTTCTTTCAGAATAAAAGCATGCATTTATACAAACAACAAGTGAAGCACACTCAGCTTGAGACAAAATACAAAAAAAAGGATAACAAACTCTTTTGAAATGCAACATAATGGAGTTTCGAACATGCAATTTTAAGTATTTATCATTTGACAGCTTTAGTGTTTAATGTTTTTCTGACAACACTGGCAGAAATTAATTAAATATATCTGGTTATTAAACACACACAGTGCTAATTGCTGAGACATTAAGTGTCGAGTGTGACTCTGTAAATGGGGATTTGATGAAGGGACAAAAATATAGAATCTCTGGAGAGCTGAATTAAAAAGATGAAAGAAAAGAATAATTTTATAAAAAAACAGCCACAGGTTGCAAAAACCTTCACAGCCCCCCCAAAGCTAGCTGAAAGCTACGGCCCTGGCTGCAGCACTGAACCTTTTCAAAAAGGACTCCAGAAGACCTGCTGCAGAATCAGCAGCTCTCGTGCTTCTCCTCTTATCAACTGCCATTGCCAGAGGAACTGAAGTGCAGCTGAACCAAACGGCGTCCTCTGGCTGCACAAACACTGCCGCTCTCTGAACCTTTGGGACCAAAAACCTCCTGCTTAAAATAAACTTCTGCTTCTTTTTTAAACGTATGGAAACAATGAGCCTGACACGTTCACTGCCTTTCGTACCACAAGCCTTTCTTTTTTCTGCGTCTCACAGATTTTGAACCATCCGAGCTGCTGTAGCATCATCAGACCGCCTCTATAGACGATATTAATGTGATTCTATCTCAGCTCGATTAAGGCTACATGTCCTCTAAGTGCTGATTATAAAGAAATTAGGGAGGAAATATGTTTCCGATGCCTGTGAGAGCTCATCTGTGGATGCTGCTGCAGAGAGATAATGAATGTGACCACAGTCAGTGTGCAGAGCAGCGTTCAGCTCAACATTACCACAGGCATTAGTCACTCTGCATGTCAGTAAAATGGCTGCTGCTGCTGCTGCTGCTGTATTGTTGTTGTGAGGAGGGAGCACATGGCTGTCTGTGCTGCGTGTTTTCAGGTCGACACGATGTTAGACGACAACACTGAGGACTGATTCATGAATGTGCAGGGATGATAAAAGCCTCCACAGGATGTTAAATGAAAGTGTCGAGTCGGTCCGATCTCATGAAGCGTGCATCATGAAGACTCAAAGTTTGTGCACGAGTCAGCATTAAACCTGCAAGTGATCAGTTGTGACTTTAAGTGAGGATCTCATCTTTAATGTGCAGACTCCCTCTTTGCTCATTGAACTTAACAGTGACAAGGTAATTCAGATACTTTAAGGCTTTTTTATGGGAGCGTGCATATGTATGCACATTTCCTTTTGCATAAATTTGCATAAAAATAACTCTACCCTGTGGGAACATAAGTCCTAATTTTGAGAGAATTCTTAGAAATGTGGGAACATAGGGCAGTGGGACCATTGGTCTGTGGGAACATAGGGCTGACCCCTTTTTTTATGGTTCCAAGAAGGACACTTGAAGAACGTCCAGTTCTCAACCTGCACATTCAGGGGTCTAACCCTTCAGAGTGTGACGCTGTAGGAACCCGTTTAATGTGAGCTTCTGGCACATTCCTCTTTCTTACTGTTCCACTTTGCAGTGAAAGTCTGTTGACATAATTTAAAGAGCCTGAAAATGACCTTTAGTTGTGTCAGAAGTCAGATATAGAACGCTGGACTTCTTAAGATGCACATGTTTCTAGAGTCCAGCTTTTGATGGTTTTAACAGAATCAGAGAAAACTGGAGTCGGTCTTTGTTCTTCAGACTTCTACAATCACACAGAATCTTCTTGCCTAAACGTGAAGATTATTTTTGTTGTTTTTTGTCCTCCAGACATTGTTGTAGTCCGATAGAAAGAGCTGTACTGAAAACATGCAGGGTGTCATGACAAATGTGAGAGTTGTGATTGATCTGAGGGGACTCAATGAAACCATTCTGTCAGTATAGGGGGGTGTTTGATGAGAGAACAATCTTCAGATTGTGAGTGAACCTCGCCCTGTAAGGTGTTGGTTATTTGAAGAGGTTTGAAAATCAGAGGTTGCGTGTGTTTGTGAGAGCAGAAAAAACATCTTAAAAGTGGAGCTTCTTCTGTGGACGCAGCAGCAGCAGCAGAGCCTCGTCTGACTCACAACATTTAGTTACATAAGAGTCTGCAGGTTTTTTTTATGATTATTAGTCCAACTAAACAACTTTGAAGTAAAATCAGCAGCAGGAGGATTAAGGTCTGCAGACTCACCAGCTGGGTTTCTATCTGAAACTGTTTTCCTGCAACTTTCAGAGTTTAAGGAGCCGGATCAGAGCTGATGTGTGTGTGCTCCTCATCTGCAGCTGCACAAGTGTGTGTGTGTGTGTGTGTGTGTGTGTGTGTGTGTGTGTGTGTGTGTGTGTGTGTGTGTGTGTGTGTGTGTGTGTGTGTGTGTGTGTGTGTGAGAGTCGGTAATGAGATGAATTGAAACACCTGTTTGGGTGAGAAAGGTCTTGATGACTCTCCACCTTGAGGAGTATTTGTAGTCAAAAAACAGCAACTGGAATACAAACCGAGGCGGTGCTCAGCTGCTAAACTTTCAATGAATCACACTCTAATTATTTTTATTCAGTGCACAACAAGTCAGCTGAGCAGGCAGAACACCTGAGCTTACTCGGCTCAAAGGACTGACACCTCAGCACTGATTACCTGCAGTTTAATCCAGCCTGCGGTGCTCCGGTTCAGGATCAGATTTAACACCTGCCCATCTTCAACTTGTATTTTTCTTGCCTGTTTTTAAGTCCTAGTCAGCACATAGTCACGCTGTAAGCCGGTTTCTCCTCAGATATCAGATCCTACACAGACGAGTCAATTCTCTGACTTCATACTGTAAATCTCATTTTATCTTTTTAAGATTACCAAATGTGCAGAAAAGAGTTTTCTCTGAGCTTTGTGCACGCTTCATGTTTCTTCTTTCGCACAAAGCTAAATATATTTTTGTTTTGTGCAAAATCAAACGATTGTCCTGAACTAAGAACGTACGACAGTTTATGGGAAACGCCCGAGTATGTGTTGCAGTCCACGTGTGTCATTGACCAGCATCCGGCCCGTTTCATGACCCGTTGAACGTGTGAGAAACAAAACGTCCCTTTAATTAATGTTTCAGACGGATACAAACAACATGAACGCATACGACGGTGCTACGTGGTAAACATGCAGTAAAAACCCTGAGGGAGCAAAATGACAAATTTCACTGGTTTTTTTTGAAGAATTAAATCACGTTAAAAAAAATAAACTTCTATATTTCGTGACAGAAATGAGAGGAAAAAAATTAAAACGACATCAGGGTAGTTGGTAGTCTTGTGGGTTTGATTCGTTTTGTTCATGTTTGTCGAGTTTTCGGCCAAAGTTTGAAACTTTCCTGCACCAGAACTCACCGAAGGGACCAAATGAAGTTTTCTAGTTTTTCATTTCATCAGAGCAGCTCAACACAGACGGATGGTATTAAAAAAAAAAAGCAACATTTTCTAGATTAAAGGTCAAATGTTTTCAAAAACCTTTCAGTATGTTGTCATTTGTAATCTTTGGACATCTCTGTTTGGTACGCAGTAAAAAAAGTAACACTTCACCTTCTTAAAGGTTTTTAAAGGATTTCTTGTAGAAGCTTCCGACTGCCCAAAGTGATCATATATTAAAGGAACAGCTGATCCATCTTCACTGAGCTGCAGAGCAACAATCTCTGTCTTCTTTTCAGGATGTGTTTTTGTTTAATTCTCTTTTCCTGACTCCTCACATAAGCCATCCACGCAGAGTTTCTCAACCTGTTTACGGACTTTAGATCGATTCTGGTTCCTAAAGCTTCCTTAACTGGTGTTCAGAAACTTCTTCAAAGGAACAATGTGCGACATGTTCCACAAATAAATCATCAAGTCTGTCCTGTGTAAATGTGTCTCTGAGTCCTGACTGTCTACAATGAGGGAGAAGCTCGAGTCCCGCTGGCTGTGTTGTTGTCAGAGCCGTGTTTACATGGACGGGACGGCCGGCTCCTCCCCTTGTGTATAAAAGCTGTTTTAGTCAAGAACTAGAGAGAAGAAGAAGAACATACTCACTGATTATTTGGATGTTAGTAAGAGTTTTTAGATCACGCTCATTCTGTGTCAGTTTACATGAAATGTGAAGCTATGAGCTAACTGAAGAGCGCTAATATTAGCATGCTAACACAACAATGTGAAGCTACGAGCTAACTAAAGAGCGCTAACATTAGCATGCTAACACAACAATGTGAAACTACGAGCTAACTAAAGAGTGCTAACGTTAGTATGCTAATGCTAATCTGCCGCTTGCACTTGACACCTTCATGTGAATGCAAGTAGAGAGGGGTTGGAGGTGTGTCTCTGGAGGAGAGCAGAGGCTTCAGTATGGAGGAGGCGTGGCCAAACAGCAGTTTGTTTTGGTTTCATGTTGGTTCTCATGGGCGCCATCTACTGGATCAAAAAGTCGCACATTCTTCCTTTAACTTTTCACTTAATCGTTGGATTCACTGTTGAAATGAAAATATTGATGCGTGCAGCTTCAAACAAAAACACTGCATGATGCTCACATGTCTTATAAAGTAATCGACTGATCAGTCCCTGAACTTGTTTGGACGGTTTTTCAAACATAGAGGCCATTGGGCTCTTGGGATTCACGATGCACATTATTGTCCTTATTTTGAACGACTGTAACAATGACCTTAAAATAAATAAATATGAGAAGGAACATAGATTGAAGTGGATCTTTTTAAATCAAGAATACTGCCTCTGTCTTTTTTACAGATCAAGATTTAAACTGATTTATTCTCATTTAGGTCTGAAGATTTGTGTTCCAGCACGACTTATTTTCAAAGACTGTGAGCCTATAAATGATCTTTCTGAGGACGCAAACTGATCGGAAATAACAACAACAGTGCGTCAGCAGTTCCAAAAGTTCGTTCTGATGCCTTTGAAACTATTTTTACCGGTTGAAAAAGTCCCAGAGGAACCGGGCTCACAAAGAGACGTCGAGCCAAAGTCAAACTAAAAATAAACAGGCTGAGAGAGACTGCGTTAGTCAGTGTTTCACAAGAGTTCAGAGGAATGTCTGTGATTTAAAAAAGCCATGACACGAGCGGTGATGATGATGGTGATGGTGATGATGTCATCGTGTCTCTGTGATTGCTGCAGACGTTTAGAGCTGCTGCTAAAGTGCAGTGATGACTGAGAGAGTGAATGGTCAGATGAATGGACATTATGAATATTTCTCCTCTCTGCAGACCAAACGCTTTATCAAAGGTTTGCATCCCTTTTATTTTTGGGATTAATTAATTCCACTGTTGTTGTCTGTGTCTCCTCTCGTCCTCTCTCACAGTCATAAGCCAAAGCCTTTGAGATATTGAAAAAGATAAATCTATAAAAGAAGTGGTTGACCCTCGCCGGGCTGCGAGATCCTCCCTGAACCCCGTCAGGTTTTTTTTATTTTTATTATTTTTTTTTCTGGGTTCTTGCTGCAGTAAATGAAATGTTTGTAATCTGTTGCTGAGGCATAGTTTGTAACCTATGCAAGGTTAGTCAACAGTTTATGTCCATCTCATTCCATCATGTTACAACAGTTTCAATAAAAGTTGAAAGATATGAAGAAGCTGTGTGATGTCATTATTGATCCAAACAGGAAGGTGAGGTTATTATGATTATATAATAGGCTAATGGAGAGGTCAAGAAAAGCTGATGACTAAAATATTTATCTCGTAGTGCTGAATAAGAGCAGTGAAAGGTGGGTCCATCTCAACATCAGTGTTCGTTTAGTTTAGTTTAATTGTTTATTTGAATCAGGGACAGTGTACAAAAAAACATTAGTCTCACAAGAGAAGAGATGCTTTGTACCAGAGTTTTAAGGGCTTGTTTATAAAGTGACCTTATGGGTTTTAAGACAGTCTTGTTTGCTTGAGACCAACATGATATACAGTAATGAAAGTAAGAAAAAATCATAGCACTCAAATACATTTTAGACGCTTCGACTGTAAGTGAGTTCCTGATATGTCTAAAGTTGTGGTTTTGTTGTAGTCATGACCACATTTAACCGAGACCAAGATATACCCGAGACCAAGACCATTAACCATTAACCATCTAACTGCAAATTAATTTAAGTTATTTGTTCTTTTAGGCATTTTCCTTCTAATCACAATAATGACGTGAGAAAGAAGCCGATCAGTGGCGCTCTTGACCCGTCTTGATTTCATATCTGGAGTCAGCCGAGTATGAGACCGAGACCAATTTTAAAATTCAAGATACAGTATGTGTGTCAGTCTAGTTTGAATCAAACTTTACATCATTACTTGTGTCTTTGTTAGAAAAGTATGAAATACAAATAATACACAGGAATGAGAGTAGTTTTGAGCTCAGGAGGCAGCCGGTCAATGAGCAGGACACCGGAGTGGAACAAACAAAACAGACGTTGAAGTGGAACAGCAGCTCGCTTAGATGTGACCGCTCTAAAACAGTCTGGCATGTGAAGCATCTCAGAAAGTCAAAACACAGTGACCCCTGTGAACAACATTTACACTTATATCACCATGACTGAACACACTCCCAGTCAGATACCCTATATATATATATATATATATATATATATATATATATAAATATATATATGTATATATAAATATATATGTAGACTCTGTGTTCTGTCTGTTCTGCAGTATGGACTCTGTGCTCTGACTGTTCTGCAGTATGGACTCTGTGCTCTGTCTGTTCTACAGTATGGACTCTGTGCTCTGACTGTTCTGCAGTATGGACTATGTGTTCTGTCTGTTCTGCAGTATGGACTCTGCAATATGGACTCTGTGCTCTGTCTGTTCTGAAGTATGGACTCTGTTCTGTCTGTTCTGCAGTATGGACTATGTGCTCTGTCTGTTCTGCAGTATGGACTATGTGCTCTGACTGTTCTGCAGTATGGACTCTGTGCTCTGTCTGCTCTGCAGCATGGACTCTGTGCTCTGTCTGTTCTGCAGTATGGACTCTATACTCTGACTGTTCTGCGGTATGGACTCTGTGTTCTGTCTTTTCTGCAGTATGGACTCTGTGCTCTGTCTCTTCTGTAGTATGGACTATGTGCTCTGACTGTTCTGTAGTATGGACTCTGTGTTCTGTCTGTTCTGCACTATGGACTCTGTGTTCTGTCTGTTCTGCAGTATGGACTCTGCAGTATGGACTCTGTGCTCTGACTGTTCTGCAGTATGGACTCTGTGTTCTGTCTGTTCTGCAGTATGGACACTTCAGTATGGACTATGTGCTCTGACTGTTCTGCAGAATGGACTCTGTGTTCTGTCTGTTCTGCAGTATGGGCTCTGTGCTCTGTCTGTTCTGCAGTATGGACTCTATACTCTGTCTGTTCTGCGATATGGACTCTGTGTTCTGTCTGTTCTGCGGTATGGACTCTGTGCTCTGTTTGTTCTGCGGTATGGACTCTGTGCTCTGTCTGTTTTGCAGTATGGACTCTGTGATCTGACTGTTCTGCAAAATGGACTCTGTGCTCTGTCTGTTCTGCAGAATGGACTCTGTGATCTGACTGTTCTGTAGAATCGACTCTGTGCTGTCTGTTCTGCAGTATGGACTCTGTGATCTGACTGTTCTGCAGAATGGACTCTGCAGTATGGACTCTGTGCTCTGACTGTTCTGCAGTATGGACTCTGTGTTCTGTCTGTTCTGCGGTATGGACTCTGTGCTCTGTCTGTTCTGCGGTATGGACTCTGTACTCTGTCTGTTCTGCGGTATGGACTCTGTACTCTGTCTGTTCTGCGGTATGGACTCTGTGTTCTGTCTGTTCTGCGGTATGGACTATGTGCTCTGTCTGTTCTGTGGTATGGACTCTGTGTTCTGTCTCTTCTGCGGTACGGATTCTGTTTTCTGTCTGCTCTGCGGTATGGACTCTGTGCTCTGTCTGTTCTGCGGTATGGACTCTGTGCTCTGTCTGTTCTGCGGTATGGACTCTGTGATCTGACTGTTCTGCAGAATGGACTCTGTCCTCAGTCTGTTCTGCAGAATGGACTCTGTGATCTGACTGGTCTGCAGAATGGACTCTGTGCTGTCTGTTCTGCAGTATGGACTCTGTGATCTGACTGTTCTGCAGAATGGTCTCTGTGCTCTGTCTGTTTTGCAGTATGGACAATGTGCTCTGTCTGTTCTGCAGCATGGACTCTGTGCTCTGTCTGTTCTGCAGTATGGACTCTGTGCTCTGACTGTTCTGTAGTATGGACTCTGTGTTCTGTCTGTTCTGCAGTATGGACTATGTGCTCTGACTGTTCTGCAGTATGGACTCTGTGTTCTGTCTGTTCTGCATTATGGACTCTGCAGTATGGACTCTGTGCTCTGACTGTTCTGCAGTATGGACTCTGTGTTCTGTCTGTTCTGCAGTATGGACTCTTCAGTATGGACTCTGTGCTCTGTCTGTTCTGCAGAATGGACTCTGTGATCTGACTGTTCTGCAGAATCGACTCTGTGCTGTCTGTTCTGCAGTATGGACTCTTCAGTATGGACTCTGTGATCTGACTGTTCTGCAGAATGGACTCTGCAGTATAGACTCTGTGCTCTGACTGTTCTGCAGTATGGACTCTGTGTTCTGTCTGTTCTGCGGTATGGACTCTGTGCTCTGTCTGTTCTGCGGTATGGACTCTGTCTTCTGTCTGTTCTGCGGTATGGACTCTGTGTTCTGTCTGTTCTGCGGTATGGACTCTGTCTTCTGTCTGTTCTGCGGTATGGACTCTGTGCTCTGTCTGTTCTGCGGTATGGACTATGTGCTCTGTCTGTTCTGTGGTATGGACTCTGTCTTCTGTCTGTTCTGCAGTATGGACTCTGTGATCTGACTGTTCTGCAGAATGGACTCTGTGCTCTGTCTGTTCTGCAGAATGGACTCTGTGATCTGACTGTTCTGCA